TTTTCTCTCATCCGGTTACATTTCTTCCCTAGCATTATGTTAAAGATATGAAAAGGACTTCCAAGAAGAATGCTAACACAAACCAGGCACATTTATCCCACTGGAAAAACGCAGGCTCTTCCCATCACTGCAAGATGCCGCCAGTAATAGTTCCACTGGAATTAATGGAACAGCATCGAGAGAAGGGCACAGGGAACACATATTTCAAGCCCCACAGGCACAAAAGAACCCCATTATTAAGCCTAAAGCTAATGGTTTTATACTGGAGTTGTCTCTTTTAAGAAGTTACCTAGAACGTGAACGATGTTACTTCACAGAGGGCAGGACCCACCTCCTGCTGAGCAATGGAGCTCCATGCTCTCAGAGCCCCCATTACCCAGTCTCAGAGGGGAGATGATTGCAGCGAGGTGGCTGTTAACTAACAGAGACAGAAAAAACCCTAACAACAGTTTGTTCTCGTTAACAGAAGCGACCCAACACCGCAAAAGGGTGAATGAAGTCTAAATGTAACTCTCTCATTAATGAGGAATGAAGACCTGTACTTTCTGCTACCCGAACAGAAACTGAACCAGCAAACCCCACGCAGCATAAATGCCAAGAGGTCATTTTTATGGAGTTACCCCTTTCCAGCTGTAACCACACATTAGAGCAGTCAGAAATAACACTTGTAAAGGACAGGTGAACAAAACCAGCGGGGTTTCTTCATCCCGCAACAAAGACCGAGCACTTCACCCATCCGCTCGTTACCACTCCTGCTCTCCACAGCCGCTCTTTGTGTCCTCACGACGACTCCTGCGGGCTTTGTCCGTCGCAAACGGCAGCGCCGGGGGAAGGAGGATCCCGAGCCGTTCCCATCAGGAAGCGAAAGCTGCCCCGGTTACTCCCCAGCCCGCCGGCAGCCGCGGGTTACCGCAGCCCAGGAAGGGGAGCGGGAGAGCCCGGGCACGCTTCTCACTCTGCGGGACACACGCGATCGGGCTGGCCGGGAGCGCAGCGGGGCCGCCCGGCAGCGGCCGGCTCTGGGCCGCCACCACTGAGGCTATTGCTATTGCTATTGCTACTGCTCTTCCCTCCCTGCCGCCCCGCCTCCCGCCACCGGCGTCAACCGCTCACCCCTCACGGAGCCGCCGCTGAGCGGGCGGTCAACGCTGCCCGGGTCGCGCCATCGCCGTGAAGCACACGGAGGAGCCGCTCAGCACGGCGAGGCCGCCGCTTACCCGCCCGGTGAGCTCCGCGGCGCAGCCCGGCCGGGGAGCGGCCTCCCGGGGCTTCAGCCGTGTGGGGGAACCGCTCGGAACTACAGCTCCCGGCGGGCGCTGCCACAGGGGAGGGCCGGGCCCGGCGGCGGGCCCAGCGCGGGGCATGCCGGGAGTTGTAGTCCGGAGGGAGGGCGGCTTCCAGCCACCGCCTGTGGCGAGAGGAGGAAGAGGCGCGGCGGGGCGAGCCCCCGGAGAGGCGGGCGGAGGCTGTGGGCACGGAGGCCAGCCCCGTGTCAGGCCTTGACCCCTTCGTGAGCGGAGGCCTCTCCCGGTGGTGCCTGCAGCTGCGTTTCGAGGTGTTTTGCCTTTTTTCGAATGGTTGGTTGGTTTGTGGTAGGGTTTCTTTGGTTTTTTTTTTTTTAATCGATTTTATGTCTTTTAACTCCGCTGAGGCAAAATGGTTCCCAAATCTCCACGTTCCTACTTAAATCTCCAGCCTAAACATCTGTGTGTTTGTTTGCAGGCCAGCAGTGTTTCGCCATTCAGTTTCCTGCTTCAGTTCGTTTCTATGAGTACATCGGAGTCGTTGTGGCTTCTCTTGCCCTCCTAAGCGGGATGTGCTGAGGGATTTTTGCCTTTTTTTAAGTCTTTTGTAAAGTAAGTTCTTCATTAATCGGCCTTAAGCTGCTTAAAATAATCATTGGCTATATCAGGAGCGGAGGGTTTAAAAGCAGAACCTCAAACTGCAGGATTTGGGAAGGATGGGACTTGAATTTGGGTGTCTGGAGCTGGCATTACTGCTTAACATGCTAGCGAAGATGTCCTTGCATTCTCTGTACCCGGGGCTCAGCAGCACAAGTTTGGGTTCATGAGGAAGATGAGGGGGGTTCTTCCATTTTGTGATTTTACTGCCTTCTGCTGGTCAAAGAGGATGAGACTGAGTTTAATTTTTTATCATCAGCGCATGATTAGAGCACATGATCTAACAGGCAGCTTCAGTGCAAATACAACAGATACCGGTTGCATTTTATCTTACGGAATCTCATGGATATAATATATTTCATGTAGTAGGGTCGATCAGCAAAGAGGATTGTAGGTGCAATGCAGACACCTTGGTTCTGAGGTCTAGCTATTGGCTTGAAGTGTGGATGGAGCAGATCGCCTTTCTGATCCTTCCCTTGCCTTTCTGCTTGTCTTTGCTAACAGCACTTCGTTTCTGTGTTCCTATAAATTCGTGATCACAATCTGTTTTATGAAGCCTTCAGACTAGCAGTAAGCATCTCTACAGCAGAGGTATAACACTACCGTGATCAAATTTAACCCCCCCTGAATAATGGCCACAAGTAGCTACTGTTCCTTTTCAGAACTGGAGAGGTAGCACACACAGTGTCATGCACACCATATATGTTTTTATATTCCAAGCAAAGGTAAAGATTTAAAACTAAACCCTATGTTGCTGTTTGTACAAAACTCATGGAAGACTCTGCCCCCACAACAGTGGGTAATCCGTCAGTGCAGAAGGAAACGGGGCTCCTGCCTGCAGAATTTTATGACCTATTTCAAGAATCATAGAACCATAGCATAGTTAGGGTTGGAAAGGACCTTAAGATCATCCTGTTCCAACCCCCCTGCCATGGGCAGGGACACCTCACACTAAACCATGCCACCCATGGCTCTGTCCAACCTGGCCTTGAACACTGCCAGGGATGGAGCATTCACAACCTCCCTGGGCAACCCATCCCAGTGCCTCACCACCCTCACAGGAAAGAACTTCCTCCTTATATCCAATCTAAACTTCCCCTGTTTAAGTTTGAACCCGTTACCCCTTGTCCTATCACTACACTCCCTATGATAGTATAATAGAATAATAGTTCTTTAAAGTTTTATCTTTGCTTTTGTTCTCAGAGACAAAGATGAATGTGCTTGTCTATTTGTGTATGGTCTCGAATAATGAGAGCTGAGTAGCTAACGTGGTTTGGCTAAATGTTGAACAAAGAATTAGTCAGTTGATCAAATGTAATAACTATTCCCTTGCCTGAAATTAGTTGCCTGCACCTTCCTCCTCTGAAATTTAATAACCATGCACCAATTTGATAGGCCACACAATGTGCCATCTGGATATACATTGTAAATCCCTCGGGCAATCAGGTTATGAGAATGAAGATACCTATTTTCTGCTTTTTGCATCAGTCAGACCATGCAAAACAACGCTTTGATTGCAAAATAATTACTCAGGCAACCATACATAACTCTCTATAAAGAGAATGTTTTCTCCACATCCACTAATTCCTGTTTTTGTAGGAGTGGGAGAGAACATGCTGCAGCCAACAAACTTCTAATAAATGCCACAGAGTTTATACTTTCAGCATTCTGATGGCATAAAGGCCGTGCAAGCCATCTTTGAGCTCTAGTTGTGCTTCATTAATATCGTACTAGTAAGGAAATATTTAAAATCTATGTCCATGGAAAATATAACTTGCCTTTGCTTCTTTTAATAGGTAAACCCAGTGGGTAACAGCAAGCAGCAATGGCAAGAAGACTAAAAATTAGAGAAGATGCTCTCAGCTTTATGGATCTTGGAGATAGCACAGTTACACAACATTTCCCCACCAAACACTGCTGAATGGTAAGATAACACTGAATTGAGCAGTTAGGAATGAAGCTGCTTCTCTCTCTGCCACTAGCCGCCTAAATCACCTCTGGGAAGTCAGCTAAGCGTTCATCAGTGATCTGCAGTATGTTTAGAAAAGCCCATTAAAACATGTGGTGGACAGTGTGTGCTATCCAAAACACCCTTTTGCTTGTTGCTTAAACAGAGGAGACCTTGGGTCAAGGAGCTATGGACAAGGGAATTTTTCCTCATTTATTTTTAGTTTCATTTCCTAGGGAAGTAAACCATCTGTGACCTGTTTCCTTCAGGAAAGTTTTGAAACCACTCTGCAGTTTAATCAAGTTTGCAGAGCCTCAGAGATAATAAGTACATTCAGTTTCTGTGGAAATAGCTGCTCAGGTAAAGAGACCCTGGGACAGGGTTCAAGGAGAGCACTGGAATCCAGGCTGTGTTAATCCTGCTGCTCACACAACTCCTTGTTAAAATTAGTTACAACATGATTGCTGCCACCGATTTAAGAACAGAAAACCTCAGATATGCTTGTGGAAGGGTTGCTTGTGCTTAGCAACACTACTGGAAATAGCATGGTTAGATAAATGATACTGAGCTTTATAAAGATGGGGAGCACTATTGATTAAAAACTTAAAGCTGTGACAACTCTTTTGTCTCTGAAGCAAACCCATTACTCCAGAACGTCATGGGTCTCACAAAGAAGTTGGGATCTTCAAGGTTAATAAATACATGCACACTGTAAAGCAACAAAGGATCATGCAGGCTTCCAGGGAACAAAGCATTCTCCCAAGCTGCTTCTTGAGATGTTGTCACCTGCATGCACAGACTCTGACTATGCTCTTTGATGAGGGTGGCCCTGAGGTCCTTTTCCAGATGAGACTCACCTGTCTGCCAATGTGTGAATCTGCTCACATGTGCCTGCTGTGTTGATCTGCCTGGGGAAGCTGCTGCGGCAGTAATATGTGCACCAACCTTTCAGGCAGTAATGTAGGATGCAAGGGACAGAGTGAGCATAACCCCTCATCAGAGTGCTGTTGGGTTTCTCTGCACCAGTTTAGCCAGCATGTTTCTACTCATACCACTCACTCCATCCAAAACCAGATTTTCTTACTCTATCCCAGGATAAGGCTAGAGAAGAGGGGGCTCCAGTAGGATACCTGTATCCTACTATCCTATATCTGTGTCAAGGCTACCCCTCATTTAAGATCTTAGTTAAATATCTGGAAGAGAAAATAAAGAGCATATTAGTGGCGTTTACAGAGTATTAAACTGGGAGAGACTGAAAGCTGTATTCAGGACAGAAACATAAACTACCTGAAAATGATAAACATGAGCAGAAATTAATGGAAGCTCCTTTAGGAAGACTGTGGGTCCTTATCTGAGGAGATTCAAGTTCATGAACCCATCTATTAAAACCTGGAAGTAATAATGCTAGGAGACAAAGAATAAAGGCAAAAATGAAGCAGACATCAAATGCTGCCACATGAAGAAGGCTGCGGAAAGGTTTGTGCAGCTGAGGGTTTCAGTTTCCATTGCTGCCCCAAAAGGAACTTTTGCTGCTGTAGAAGTGTGAGTCTGGCCACCATTCTTACCTTAGAGCCTGCTGGCCTAGCCAACCGCTCCACCTGAAAGAGCAGAGGTAAAGCCAAGAGAAGGAAGGAACCAGAAACTACTTCTGCTTCTCCCATCTTCAGATAGCACCAATGCCTGGAAGTGCTGTGCGTCTCCCTGGAGGAGGAAGCATGATCCTGCTGTGGGTCAGGCTCCCAGGCTGGGAAGTTCTGCTCAAGGCAGAATGTTTTACATACAGTAATTCTGCTTCATGCAGTAGTTGATATGATTTGATTTGGTATCCAGAACTACAAAACATCTCCCTTCCTTACTGTGAGGATCCCTTGTGATGGGTGAAGAACACCGTTCCCTATAAAAGTGGTCTATTGAAATGCTGTGTCAGGGCACCTTGGTTCTTCTTCCAGCTCTGCTAATAGCAGCTTCTGCCATGCCTGGCTTGAGCTATCTATAAGAGAAATAATATGGACGTGAGGGATGTAGTGAAGGCTGCAGGCACTCGGAGAGTCCTTACTCCTTCTTTACTCTCCTACTGTGTCATTTTCCCAGAAGAATTTGGGCACTGGACAAACGGCTTCTCCTTCTTGCTCCAAGAACACCAGCATCTTCACTCTTGCCATACATATGTCAAGAAGAGGATTGTGCTTAAAACAGTTTATGTTACACAGATTTAGTTCCTTTAACTAAATTACCTGCAGATAGGCAGAGATTTGGCCCTCAATGAATTTAATTCGTTTCACTTGGCTGCCGGTAGATGGCTCCCTAAATTTGCAGTCCCTTATTTACCACGTTGTTTATTGAATGATGTTGGACACATTTTCAATGGAAAATGTTTCCAGTGTGTTTGCTTGGAGGAAGTTTACGTAAGAAGAACAAGGAAGCAATGGACTGAGTAAATAGTCTGTTACCAAACAAGACACAGGATTGGTTTGCTTTTTGCAAAATGGTTTTGGGCTGCAGTCCAGAAGGTTTTTCTTGTGCAGGACTTGTAACTCATTGAGCCTCATAATTATAAGGTCATCTGTGTTTGCAGGATGCATTTACCACATCTGAGTACAGCAAAGTAAAGTTAGTTATCAATTATAAAAACATTTTAGTCCTGTGTTTTAAAGGATTTGTGTGATTTATGGACAGGTACCCTGGTGAATTGATCGAAATGCTTCTTCGTTCATACCTTTTCAGGATGTGATGTTGTTTCACAGATGCGTGTGTGTTAATAGAGCACTGTGTCCAGGCTCCTTAGATAGGTGCTTTGCCCAAATACAGCTTGCAAAGGCAGACTCAACTGGTTATTCCTCGCCTCTTTGTTCAGGGTTTCTCAGAGAAGATGAAAAGGTGACTTTCAACATGACAGTCCATATCTTGGTAAATTGCTGGGTTTTTACCCCAGTCCCCAGATCAGCAAGGTAACCAAAGGGGAAATACAACAGCTATGGTGCACACCCATCACCCTCAACTCCCTGTTCATATATGCTCAGCCTTCATCTTGGTGGAGCACTCACATGATAGGTGAAGATCACCCCTCAGCTTCTCAGAGACCACTCACTCAGAGCAGCAGATGCTGATCAATGACAGCTGCATAAATGGGCTAAACCTTTTTGGAGTCAGTGATGTTTTTCAAAGGCTGATGTATTCTACCATTGGAATCCGGTGTCGAACAAGCGAGATTCCTTCTTTGCTTTCCACAATATGATGAACAATTGCGAAGTGTTAATGCAGAGTAACTATTCAGTATCTTCATAATGCAGATAAAGTTCCAGGTTTTAAATTGATTACTAGAAATATGTAGCCTTTCTTCAAACATTTATTTAAATTAAATTGGGCTGTATGGAGGTATTAATTGCAGTGTACACAGTCCCTCTACTGAAGTTAGTCTTCATTTGCCTTCACCCTTATTCTGAGATACCAGTCACCCTTGAGGACAATACACAGGCACAAAACAACTTTATGAAGAATAAGCAGCCTAACACTCCAAATACATCATCACTTGCGTACAATTTCACCCTAATTTAAAAGAAAACACTTCCTTTTTTGACTGCAGGTAAAATTTGCCACACAACAGTTGGTTTTGAATCAGAGGAAGGTGCTAGTTCCTGAAGAGATACCTGGAGAAATGTTTTGTTGCAGACTGAAATTCCATGTCTCTGCAACCAATTGGTCACATTCTCCTCGTTGCAAAGCAAGAGTTTGTTTCTTCAGGTAACTGATTTCCTTCACTTAATTCACTTTTAAGATGAGAAGACAAGAGGCAGGTAGGTTATGGGACTCACAGTGCCTGTCAGTGGCAGCACTCACCTTACTGCTCGGAATAACACAGCAACACCTCAGCATCAGTCATACTGACGTGACAGCAATATGGAGGCAGGATTTGTTGATACCATGAATTCTAGTGTCTGGCATTAATGGATTTACAATGATAAAAGGCTGCTGGTTTTCCCCCTCATATTCCTTCGCTTTTTCCTTAACATTTTTGCTTAGTTTGGTTAGTGGTTCTCTTTCCAAGGTCACGTGTACATTTCAACTAACGTCAGTCATCTGTTACTATTTACAGTCATTGGCGCTTTGTAACTTCTGCTGGGCTGTTAATGTTTGAAAAATAATGAGGAATCTTTGTTATTTTTCTGAAATGCATGTGTTGATGTTGAGTCTTACATGAATAGGGGGATTCCATTCATATTTAGACCAACTACATGGAGAAAACCTGTTTATCTGCAAAGCAATACCCTCCCATCGACAGCACATAATATATGCTGTATTTGATGGAGATCTAGTTCAGATTAATTTTGTATCTTTGAATTGAAAATACATTGATTTTTTACTTTTGTACATAGATGTCCCATATTAGATAGGGTAGAGTTAGAGGTTTTTTAGTTTTTCTATCCCTGTTGATACTTCTGCATAAAATACATCAAGAAGATGGGTAACAGATCATTCATAAAGAGGTGGGTTCCTGTCCTTTGCTCCAGTTTAGCCTTCTGCAGTGATGATCTGTGAATAGTGCAAAGGCCCTTCACTCTCAAGGAGAGACTGTTCATTGGTTTAAAGCTTGGCTGCTCCCAGTTACTGTCCTGCTCTGTCAGCGAGGCTGTGGCCTCTCTGGCAGGGGTGGCAGAGCGGGATGAGCGTCCCCACCTCAGACAGCAGTTTCAAGCCCTGGTATCTACACGCAGACTTTCCTTCCTGGCAGCTGCAGATGTCAGAGCACATCTGTCAGGCACAGCTGAGGTGCAGGCACGTCTCATCCGGTTGCCTGCAGCATGGAGGTAGGTGGGCAGCCAAGTCTGCCAGAGCTCATCTGGCCAAGCTCTGAGCTGCAGAACAAACCCTTGAAGAGCAGGGCACTGACAGATGAGCAAAGGTGACATCAAAGCTCAGAACTAGTTACCTCAAACCCTTGTGTTGTGGATGTTGGAGCTGTAGGAAACAGCTAACACACAGGTCAGGTGCTGGGGCAGAGGGAGGGAGCACTATGGGTGGTGGGGGCTGTTTCAAGCTCAGCCATTACTGCTCATCAGACACAGACCTACAGTTTCCCATGTCATGACTGCATTTTGAAGTGTACCCTGGGTCTTCAGACAGCCCACACTAACAAATCAGTGGTAGAAGGCTGTTAAATAAGCTGTTAAATATGTCGATTTGGGGATGATACTGAGCTGCTTTTATGTGTCCAACAACTTCATTAAGTTCTTCTGTCTGTGGTAACTGACCAGAGGGGAAAATGCAATCTAAAATGCAAGAGGTCTCTTGACTGAACTTAGATATGCTGTGCTCTGTGTGTCGGGCCTTCAGGGCCAGGCTGCTCTTTGCACCTTCTGGCATTGATAAGAATTCCCCTTTTCAGAAATGCAGGATTCCTAGTTTCAGTATCAGAGTTAGGCAATGCCATTTTCCCTTAAGGTAGGACTACGTTAGCCCTCCTGCATCTTGGATTGATGCTGTTTCAGAAAGGAAATTCCATGTGGGATGGAAAGGGGAAATATTTGTGGTGGTTCTTCATGCTTAGGTCTGTTCTTGTAAGCACACACACAATGCATGAGGATTTGCTCATTAAATCACAGAATGGTTTGGGTTGGAAGGGACCTTAAAGCTCATCCAGCTCCAACCCCAGCCACGGGCAGGGACACCTTCCACTAGAGCAGCTTGCTCCAATCCCCTGTGTCCAACCTGGCCTTGAACACTGCCAGGGATGGGGCAGCCACAGTTTATGTGGATGTGAGCAGGTAAATAGCTTATCTTGTCCACTCTGTGTGATGAACTTATCCTGTGTGCAATTCTATATGCAGGCAGTAACTCAAGAGCAGGAGTCTTTGTCTTGGCAGAGGTTTGTGGGGTATTTTCTCCCCTTCCCATGCAGAAGAGCAGTCCTTTCACAGTGCTGTACAATAGGTCTTTGCTTTGCAGTATCTCCATCTGTGTGCACGTGCGTGCATCTGTGTAACGCCTGACAGCACATTTCTGTAGTGGGCCATAATCTTACCCGCATGAGATTCGCTTTCTGTATGCACAGAGTCTGATTAACTCCAATGGGATCGCTCACAAACATATATATTTGCAGATTTTGGGGCCCCTGTGTAAACATACACAAACAGAAGAGCAGGATAATTCCGTGCAGCTGGAAATCGACGGCTTCTGCAAGTGGAAAAACTGGTGTACTCAGATTGCAGCCGCAATGTGCTAGAAACATTCGCACAATGCAAACAGATGGAATCGGATGAATTAACATGCGCTACTTTTGGACACTTCTGGGTTACTATTAATAGTTCTCTGCTTTAGATTAATGCACAGCATATGTCATGTAACATCGACTTTAAATTATCTGCTAGAATGTGTCCCAGGCTCAAGATTTATTTCTGAAGTCCCAAAATAGTTCCTTTTTAACTCCCTGCCCTCTTCTTCCCGTTAGGATGACCTCGAATGCAACATGTTTATGGAGAGACTGGTGGCAATGACTTGTTTGGATGAAGAAATGGTAATTTCGCTATTCTGGCTATGTTCCGAATCACTGTTAGGGATGGTTTTTAGCCTTTCTGAAGGAAAAAAAATGGTACCATCTAGGGTACAGCAGACCCATAGCCTGGTCTTGGCCCTGTGAGCACCTACAGTGTGCAGAAACGTGTCCCTCAACCGTGCTGGATGGGTATGTGGGTGGCCACAGGAGCCAGCAGTGCCCTGCAGAACTGTGACCCTGCTGGGGGTGAGCACGAGACCCTGGCAGTGATTTAGGGGTGTGCATGCACAAGACCCTGGCAGTGGTTTAGGGGTGAGCATGCACAAGACCCTGGCAGTGGTTTAGGGGTGAGCATGCACAAGACCCTGGCAGTGGTTTAGGGGTGAGCATGCACAAGACCCTGGCAGTGGTTTAGGGGTGAGCATGCACAAGACCCTGGCAGTGGTTTAGGGGTGCGCATGCACAAGACCCTGGGCAGTGATTTAGGGGTGAGCATGCACAAGACCCTGGCAGTGATTTAGGGGTGCGCATGCACAAGACCCTGGCAGTGGTTTAGGGGTGAGCATGCACAAGACCCTGGCAGTGTTTTAGGGGTGAGCACAGGAGACCCTGGCAGAGTTTCTGGGGTAAGCGTGTGAGACCCTGGCACTGTTTTAGGGGTGAGCCCATGTGGGTCCCTGGCAGCAGTCCTGAGCAGAGACCACAGCCGCCCACGGCCTCCCGCTGAGCTCCCCCGGCCGCGGGTGAGGGCCGGTTGGTGTGACCCTGGTGACGAGCCATTTTCCCTAACCACGAGCGGACCTGCGCTGATACAAGCGATACCCCCAGCCCGCTCCGTTTGCACATGGGAACGGAGCGAGCCGAGCCCAGAGCGCGCCCCGCCCGCACCACGGCACCGACCGGACGCGCTGGGTGAAGCCCGCCCCAGGCCGGGAGCGGGTCGGGTCCCAGCGCCCGGCACCGGTGGGTGGGCAGCGGAACGGGGCCGCCCGCCCGCCCCGCCGTATGTCTGCGAGGAGCGGCCCCTGCCCGGCCAGCGGGAGGAGGCGGGCGGGCGCCGTGGGGGGGAAGCTGGGCCGGCCGCGCCGCGCGGGTGCGCGCCTCCGCGGAGCATTACGGCGCCCGTTCGCGGCTCCCCGGCTCCGCCAGCGCCCAGGAGCGGCCGCGCCGAGCTCCGCAGCGCGGCCATGGCCGAGCGCCGCGCCTTCGCCCAGAAGATCAGCAGGTACCGCGGGGCGGGGGGTGCGGAACCGGGGCTGCGGAGGGGCCGGCGGGGAGCCGGGAGCCCCAACGATACCGCGCCCCTGAGGGGCGAACGGGCCCGGCGCGGCCCGCGGCTGCTGACAGGGCCGGGGCCGGGCCGTGTTGTCGCTCTGGGCCTGCCGTGAGCAGCCCCCCCCCCAAGCTGCGGGTCCCCCCCGTCCGTCGGCCCGCAACAAAGGGGTGGGGGCTGCGGCCGTGTGTGCGCGCCGTGCCCGCCTCTTCCCCGGGGACCGGGGAGGGAGAGAAGAGGAGGAAAAGAGCCGTTTAATGGAGCTCGCTGCGAACAAAGGCCGGCCGGGCCATTGTGCAGCCCCTCTCGCCGCACAATGGGCGGCCCGGCGCTCTCGGCAGCGCGGACGGTGTTTTCCTGCCGCTGCGAGGGTGCCGGAGCCCCGAGTTCGCTGCCCGCGGCCGGGAGCGCCGGGGCCGGGAGGCCGGAGCCCCGCAGCTCCGAGCCTGCCCGCCCGCTTCCCTGCGCCCGCAAAATGGAGAAGAGGGTTCCCTGCCTTTTGTGTGTGAGCAGCGGCCGGTTCGTGTTGGCACCGCTCCTTGGACGGGCAGAGCTGTTCGAGGCTCCTTGTGTTCCATAAAGTTGTGTGTTTGTTTGTCTTAAATAGAGATATTGATAGGAATTGCCTTCTAATCCCAGGTTTCTGCAGATCTATATGCCAGGCTAGGTGTGTGTGGTTCCAGGTTTGCAGCTCTGGCCAGCTACTCCTTGGTGCCCATGGTGCCTCTCTCCTTGCCGTGATTAGCAGCAGAATGAAAGGGGGAGCCGTTGGTTTTGCTGGTGCTATTCAGAAGGCTGTGGGCAGCAGTGGAAAAAGTATCATTTTCATGCCATTGAATGAGAAAACTGTAGCTACAAACTGTTGCAGGTACAGGAGCTGTGGTGGAGAAGGGTCACAGGCAGAATAAAAGGAGGTCAAAGGAAAAGGCTGGGTAGGAGGCAGAAGGAACAGCATCAATCCCGCCTCACTCGCCATCTGAAGACAGGGCTGAAAACATCGCTCCTCTCTTGTGGTTTTCTGCCAGCCTTGATGTGCACCAGCCAGGGGTTAATATGGCAGATCAAAGCCTCGGGGTTGGAGAGAGATGGATTTGCTGCCAGACCGTTTTTCCTGGATCTCGGTTGTAGTCATAGAAATCATCACATGAGAGGCAAGTACTAGAAGTGAGAGCCTAAGAGTTCTGCAGCCTTGGAGCTGAACAGAATGGCCTTGGGGTGACCACTGCGGGTGCACACCATGCTTCTGCCCATGCTGGGCACTAGCTCGGTGCAGTAGGTTCTAATCAGTACATTACACATTAAGCAGAAGCTCTTCCCTGTGAGGGTGCTGAGGCGCTGGCACAGGGTGCCCAGAGAAGCTGTGGCTGCCCCATCCCTGGCAGTGTTCAAGGCCAGGTTGGACACAGGGGCTTGGAGCAAGCTGCTCTAGTGGAAGGTGTCCCTGCCTGTGGTAGGGGTTGGAACTGGAGGAGCTTTAAGGTTCTTTGCCAGCCACAACAGCTGTGCACCTTTGGGTACCTTTGGATCTAATCCGTTTGATGCGTGTTCAAGCCAAGCAAGCGGCAGCAGGACGTGTGTGCAGGTAGAGGTGGGCTTTTTGACACGTCCTGTTCGACTGTGGGGCTTGCTGTTTGTGCAGGCTGTGCCTGCAGCAGGACATGGGTGCCCTGCAGTGAGGTTTGCTCCTCCTAGGACAGAGCTGTTGCATCTCCAGCTCTTTTTTATGCTTATCTTATAAATACACTCATTTTATATATGCTGCTGTATTCCTCTTTGGGATTTCCTGTATTCTAGCATTGTCTTATGGGAAATCTCAAGTTCCTGGTTCATTGGCTGCACATCCAGTGCATGTGAAGGCAAAAACTTGCGGACAGAAGAGATGTTGTAGCCGGAGGTGCCCAGGCTGAGCTGTGGCCCTTCTCATGCTGACACCGAAGAAGCTGCTGTGTTACTGTTTGAGAGGAGGAGAGATTCAAGCAGGCAGCATACGGAAGTCCTGAGGGCTGTTTTGGTGGCTGCTGGAAGCCCTCCCCGGTTCCATTGTTTAAAGAAGAATAGATCCATCCCATTTTCACACTCTGCCCTCCCGTTTGGCTTACTCATGGAGGTAGACATAGCATTTGTCTTATTCACAGGAAACAGCCATGCTGCTCTTGGTTTGCCTGATAGCTTGCAATCCAAATGGGATGCAATTCAGATCCGCAGAGGTTAATTACTTCAAGACCTATGTACCAAACAGATGCGAGCTCCTAAGCTGGTTATTACAGCAGTGGTAGGAAAAGAAATGTGAAATCAGCTGTTCTGTGTCTTGGATAGACCACAGATGTGCTCTTCACAGCCATGGTTTACTCCCTGGGCTGTCTTCAACCAGTGTGGTGCACCTCAAGGATACGCACAGAGCTCCAGTGCCATGCGGTGCCTGTTTATTACTACTGGAGTCTTTAAATATTGGGGATGGCAGCTACCAGTGAGTGCTAGAGCAGTTTCACAATGTCTGTGTAAGTGACAAGATAGATCTCTGACTGGGTCCTGCTGCCCTTTTGTTGGAAGGCTTTAAACTGGAACAGATTTTTCTCCTGGACTTTGGCTGTCACATGTACTTACTAATTCCTCTTGAGTGCAGAAGAAAGCCCTAAGTTACTGGGGAAAACCCTATGATACTGGGTTAATAAGACCTGAAATTGTTAACTTTTAATTGGAAACATATTGGTAACAAATTTTGTATTAAGCTACATCGGAACATGCCCTTCTGCATGTGGTGCTTGTGTAGCTGCATGGGCACTGTTTCCGTCTCAGTCTAAGAACAAAGGTACTTCTGTTTAATACCCCCGATCAGCTCAGCATGGTGTTTGGGGGACTAGAGGAGAGTTAGTGGGAGGCAGGGTCCATGCCAGCAGACATAAAGCTCAGTCTCTGAGATGTGTCACTAAAACCCAAGCAGTCAATAGGTTGTTCCTGAGGAACCAGCTAAGCTGCCTGTTTGCTCTCAGCAGGGCTGGGTGTTAGCACTGACCAAGCCAGTGCTGTGTCCAGACCCTCTGGGGTTATCCTGTGCTGTCCCCACCAAGTACTCACCCCTTCACCTGTGTGTGCTTTGCATTCCCACTTGCATTATCCCATTTTCTGGGTATGAGGCTGCTTGGCAGAGAAATGGGATGTAGAAGACGAACCACCAAAAGGTTGGTTTCGACTTCCTGAGTGCCCCAATAATGGAAGCATGTTGTACTGCAGCACTCCAGTGTCTTTCCAGCCTTTCCAGGGGCAGCGGGGGAAAAGCTGTGCAGGTTTCTTGGAGTTCAAATTCAGAAAAAGAAATAAATCACCCTTTAGGCATCATGCAGCATTCCCAGCTCAGGCAAACTCCTGTAGCCTTTGGCTGAGCCGCTGTCTCAGTGCCTTGTCAGTGCTCGTGGACCAGCCTGACACTGGGTTATTCCAGAGCTGCTGCTTTGGTCAGAACATCACCATTTTGAAAGTGTTTTTCCTTGGAAAGAATTTTTTTCTTCCTTCACTTCTCCCACAGTTAAAGGGGATCCTTCTGACTTGGAATAATGTACCCACCTTACCCTCTGTTGTGTGATGTATTTCAGCCTCACACGAGGCCCAGAGTGTGACTTAGAATCATAGAATCATAGAATAGGGTTGGAAAGGACCTTAAGATCATCCAGTTCCAACCCCCCTGCCATGGGCAGGGACACCTCACACTAAACCACATCACCAAGGCTCTGTCCAACCTGGCCTTGAGCACTGCCAGGGATGGAGCATTCACAACCCCCAGTGCCTCACCACCCTCACAGGAAAGAATTTCCTCCTTATATCCAATCTAAACTTCTTCCCCTGTTTAAGTCTTAACCTGTTACCCCTTGTCCTGTCACTACAGTCCCTAATGAAGAGTCCCTCCCCAGCATCCCTATAGGCCCCCTTCAGATACTGGAAGCTGCTCTGAGGTCTCCACGCAGCTTCTCTTCTCCAGGCTGAACAGCCCCAACTTTCTCAGCCTATCTTCATACGGGAGGTGCTCCAGTCCCTGCTCATCCTTGTGGCCTCCTCTGGACTTGTTCCAACAGTTCCATGTCCTTTTTATGTTGAGGACCCCAGAACTGCACACAATGCTCCAGGTGAGGTCTCACAAGAGCAGAGCAGAGGGGCAGGATCACCTCCTTGGACCTGCTGGTCACGCTCCTTTGGATGCGGCCCAGGATACGGTTGGTTTCTGGGCTGCAAGCGCACACTGAAGCCGGCTCATGTTCATTTTCTCATCGACCAACACCCCAAAGTCCTTCTCCGCAGGGCTGCTCTGAATCTCTTCTCTGCCCAACCCGCAGCTGTGCCTGGGATAGCTCCGACTTTGTTACCCTGGTCTCCATTCTCTTGCTGAGGGCTGTAAGTTTTCCCATCCCTAGCTCTCAATGGAATCTGAAGAAAATTATTTTCACCCCCATGGGTTCAACCTTTCCGAGGTGCTTCCATGTGAATGGGAACTGTGTGAAGGTGCTGCTGTCCGGGGCTGGTGGGGTCTTCAGCAGAGCCCTGTTTAAAGGGGGTGACCCTGCTCTCAGATGTTCGGTGATGTGGAAACTCCCCATCCTCCAGGGCCCTCACAGTGTGTATGGACAGATCCTGGGAGTGGGCACAGCTTGTTGTCTGTATGGTTTTGAATTGAGGGGAAAACACTGCTGTTCTCTGCCTTCAGAGCTAGCATCTTATCTCTGCTGAAGCTTGCCTTTATGTTGGACTGTAAAAGGTGACTTGGGAAGGATAAATTTACATTCCTGATCATGTAAAGCCCTTTTACACTGCCTGAACTACGTGTTAGGGGGACTGACAGCCGCCTTTGCCCTGCCTCAGGGTAAACGGGGATGTGTGAAACCTGCACCCATTGAAACTGATAACAAAGCTGTCACTGGCTTCCCCTGAGCACTGGATCAGGCCACAGATGTGGTCGCAGCAGG